TCTGTTATCCGGTGCAGGCTGTGGTGGAGACAGACTGCGGGGAACTTCACTCTGTTATCTGGTGCAGGCTGTGATGACTCCTTCAGCACCGCTCCTGTTCACCATGTTCCTGGTGTCCCGGCTGATGGCTGGCATCCTCTTTGTGTGCCAGGCTCCGTGATGCTCTGTCTCTGCCCTTTTGTGCCCTTCAGGCTCAGCTCTGTCACCTTTTTAAGGTGTTATTTTTTGGATGGGATCAGCACTAGAAGTGAGCTGGTAGATGGGTCTGTCAGGTTGGAATGACCTCAGTGTGATATTGAAGAAGAGCTAAAGCTTCTTTAGAGTTTGACTGATGCTTCTGAAGCAGATGGATCAAAATCTTTTGAGGATACAATTCCAGAAAAGAAAATCAGAAGCTAGTCCCCAAAGACCGGATTGAAAGACACCGGTTTAAGTTATGCCTAAGACTTCCACGGTCTATGTCCGTATTTCCAACACAGAACTAGTTTCAGAGTCAGGATGGACTGGAGCTGCAGACGACTAATTAGCTCCTGCAAATTCAATGACGCTGACATTGCCAATGCGATTGTTGCATTTACATCAGCTCACAGAATAGACCACATTCACAGTGCCAGTTTATGGAAGAGCACAACTCAAATATCAAAGACATCATGAACTGCTTATGTTCAAGCTCTGCGTGAAGGCAAAAGATTCCAGGGAATGACCTGGAATTACCCATCGCCGTCAAGGAAACGTTAAAAACTAATTTGATGTTTGACAGAGAACCTGAGGAGACATTCAGTATAAACCTGAAGGAAATCTGTTCAAAATAAAGATTAAAAAAATGTACTATGTGGCAGATAGCAGAGTGGACATTATAAAGAAGAAAAGTAAAGACAAAATTAGGAAAGTTAAATATTTCTTAAAGATACTGAATTGGCAAACTTCAGATAAAGATCAATACAAGACAAAGATCAATACATGGAAAAGTAATGTATCTCAGAAAATCTGTGAGATTTCAAGTGGATAAGCTAAAGAGCATGAAAAAGGCAAATAATTTACAGAACAAAAATCAAGCAGGGGGGGGGTGGAGTACGCAGAATACAAATATGTAAAATGCAAAGTTATATTGATTGAGGTAAGATACATGGAAAAACCTTCAATAATGGATGAGAAGATTAGCACTGAAGTTCCTGCTGAAATGGAAGGCCGTGGAGATGGATGGGACGTTCCATTATAAATATTACAAGCAACAGAATAAGGATCAATGAAACTGCTGCGATTATGCCAGCAAGTTAGTAAAGCAGCTCTGTGGTCTAAAGAATGGAAGAGATCGGTTCATATCCCAGTAGCAAGGAAAGGAGACCTCGTTTCAAATGCCAGTAAGGTTAGGTCATTCAAGGTGTAGAAGGAGCCCTACATAGAAGGAATATTGACAGATGTGAAAGCTAGATTGAGGAGACTCAGTGGAACTGGAGACATTGCCAATAGACAAAAGATCATTGAAAAGCCAGGGAATACCAGAAGCACAATACCACATGGAGGTCAGTGTGTGCTTTATTGATCATAACAAAGGCTTCATTTGTGTTGGTCATGTCAAAATATGAAGTGATCTCACTAAAATGAGTCTAGCAGAGCACCACGTCGTCTTTGTTGTCTCCACAGTACTCAGGGAGAACTGCTTCCAGATTGGTGAATGAGTTCGGTTGCATCTTATCACCATGCCAACACTTGTAGGCAGAACATGTAATGAATGAAGAAGCTGGACTGAAAGTAGATAACCGTGGACTAGTGGAAGAAACATCATAAAGCTTGGAGGCAGTACACTTATGGCATGAAATGAAGAAGGTGTGAAGACAGTTATAAAAAAGTAAAAGAACAGAGTGAAAGGATGATTGCGGCTGAAGGCGCAGTCACCAAAGGTTATGACCACAGGTTTGACAGCTAGCTTTAGTGCTGCTGGTGAAGATGTAACAGGGCACTTTTACCTCCTTGGAACAATCACCATCAACAAAGGATCCAACAGACTTTTAGCCGAGCTGCAATAGAGGAAGAAAGTCTTCAAGGGTGCTGACATGTCTTTGTGAAGAAAGATCATAATTGATCAAAATATGGTATTTTCTGTGACGTTATGAACGTGAAAGCTGGACAGTGAAGAAGTTGGGGAGAAAGTATTGATGCCTTTTCCTGTGGACTGCAAGGACAACAAGTGGATTCTTGATCAAATAAAGCCTGAACTTTCACTTTAGGGACAAATGGCTTGAATGAAGTTGTCTTGCTTTTAGAATACTATGAGAAGACCCAGTACGCTGGAACAGACCCGGGGATTTTAAAACACCAAGGTCAGCAGCGTTAGCCCTTCCTAGGGGGCTGGGGGGCTCGGGGGTGTAATCCCATGGAAAACTACAGTGTAAATTAGTGGGAAGACTACAGTGTAAATTATGAATTTTTAACTCGCGTTTATAGCTCGATTCAATTTAATTACACTGACATCTGATCACTCCCAGCCTTGTTCTCCGCGCATCACTCAATGAAATACCCTAGTAAAAAAATGTTGAAAAAAATACATAACCTTGGTGTCCTCAGTGATAAATACAGACATGAACAGGCTATAATTCTCCTTTTAGGTATTAGAGGATTAGAACGACCATCAAAAAGATGGATAGACTCAATCATCACAACATTGAACATCTGAATACCTGTACAGAAGAAGGTTTTTAAGCAATGGTGTCTGTATGATTGCCATGATGACACGTCATAATGGTCGTAAATGAGTGGGGGTCTGTCACATTGACCTTTGACCTGTCATCACATGGGATTGGGGGAATTTTATGCGAACCAGCATTGATTCATGTCTAACACCACATTATTGCAGGGTATTAGAGGCAGGTGGTCCCGGTGCTTCATATCTGATTGATCTGTCCTCCCAAATATGGCAAAAAAAAAATATGAGGTCCATGTCCGCCGATGCCGCAGCCAAGGTGCTGAAAATGGCTCATGGAGCCTCTGTGACCTGGATTTCCTTACATCCTGGCCTTTCCTCCCTGCCTCATGGCCTCACTCGTGTCCTCCAGCAAGCGTATGCTGGTCTGTGTAGACCCCCGGGGGGGTGGCTGTGCTCCCCTCGTCTGGCAACACTTTTCCTGATGTTGGTGGCCATCTTTAAAGTATGCCGTACTATACAGTTTCTATACAGGAATGTCGCTGGTTCTGCAGTAGCAAGTCATTCCTTGTGCAATGGCAATTCTATGCACTTAACCTGAGACTGGGAGCTCTGGGAATTTTTTAGCAACTGCTTAGAGCCACGTGGCACAGAGACCTGCATGGATATTTAAGCAGTTGTAGGCTGCAGACCTCTGTCTGGCTCATTAATGCTTCCAGTGGGGGGGCGCTGTAGGTAACCTTTTGTATCCACGATGGAGGCTGGGCCTGTCGCTGTCACAGCACCCGGCCTGGCTTTGTATGCCCGCTGCCGGATGTTTGACCAGTGAACTTCTGCCTTTGTGATGTGTTCATGTTGTGGGGAATTCTGTGCTGGGAGTGGTGGGCTGCTCGTTGCATCTCCCTCCTTCTTAAATCAATGCTAACAGAGAAGACTGGTGTGTGGGGAGAGGTGCCCCCTATGTCTGGTTGATCAGCAGGGCGGACACAAGCTTCTTTAAGCTGCGGGGGTGTGCAGGAGGCCTCACATCACCCTGGGTACATGGGCCCTTAGGTACAGGTCTAACTCTTGGGCTGATTTTTTCCCCCAACCTTCCTGTAGGTGTCACTGTTACGCTGCACAGAACGTAGATATTGCCTCCTCTAGATCATAGCATGAGAGTTGCACTGTGGCTTTTCTTCTACCCTTTTCTTCAGTGAGAATTAATGCCTCTCCTTTGTTTTCTGGATTTAAGATACCACCGTTGTGAGTGGGATACATGCAAGCTTGCGAGCTTTCAGGCCTACAGGTTTCAGGTTCTACCACAGAAAGCCAGCCTCAGACATCTCTGCGCAGCCTGGCCTCTTTCTATAGTACGGTGCACGGGAACATTGGAATTGCATTGGAAGGTTGCTTCATTAGAAGCGTGTTAATGGGCAGATGCGTGCGCTCCTCCATTGCCCGTGTGCCTGAGCTGTCCTTCATCCCATTCAGTGATGCGTAAACCTGCAGGTGCTGCTCTGTGCTCCAGCATATAAGGATGTATGTACCAAGGCGCACCATCCCGCATTCCCATCCCGTATTCCCATCCTGTATTTCCATCCCGCATTCCCATCCCGTATTCCCATCCCGCATTCCCATCCCGTATTCCCATCCTGTATTGCCATCCCGTTTCATTACATGTTGTGGTTTTTGTGTCCATATAAATTACTGGAATGCGTTATCTTATAGAAAGTAGCACAGGTGCCTTTATTGGGTCACTTGATGTCCCATCACAGTTTATACAGCCCCTTGTTCTGCCCCATTTTACAGTGGTTGATCGTATTGGTGAACAGAAGGCTAATCTTATTGTGCTCACTAATAGTCTTTACTTGATAGCAAATGCCTCATTTTGTGGGCCCTGCCATGTTGCAGCGTTCCAAGGGGGGCAGCAGTCTGAATGGCGTTTTATGACCTGTTGTGTGTCCTCCCGTCCTGCAGGAGGCAGCTCCACAGACAGCGACTGTGCCTTCGAAGGAGACTACGCTGTGCCCCCGCTGCCGGTGACAGAAGGCATGCAGCACATCCGCATCATGGAGGGAGTGTCTCGCTCGCTGCCGTCCTCTCCGCTGCTCACACACCAGACCATCAGCGTGCGGCTGCAGCCCATCAAGAAGCTCACAGGTACTGCATGACAGACCCTGCCCCCTGCCGAGGATTAAGAATCTCAAAGCTCCGCCCTCCGTAGCTGGTTAATAACCTCATAGGTTGTGCACCTAATTAGCTCCGCCCTCCGTAGCTGGGTAATAACCTCATAGGTTGTGCGCCTAATAGGCTCCGCCCTCTGTAGTGGATAAAAAACATTATGGGTTGTGTGCCTAATAGGCTCTGCCCTACGTAGCAGATTAAAAACCTCATAGGTTATGTGCATAATAGGCTCCGCCCTCCATAACGGATTAAAAAACCTCATAGGTTGTGTGCATCACCCCCCAGAGCCTATTAAATGTGCTTATAGCTGAACTACACAGTATTGGGAATGTAATGTACCCCCTGATGTTTCTGGGGAGATCGGCTGCTTGTGTGACTCTTTGGTATTCAAGATTAATTCACACGCTTTGATGAAGGCTGCTTGCAGGATTTTGGAACTGTTGGTGTGACAGCAGAGAGCATTAAACTGAATAGTGCACCTATTTCTATGCAGCTCGTAGCTGAAGCTGTGTCATTCTGAAGTTCTATGCTCGTGTGGTCAGACCTTAGAATATGCAGAGATACGAGATTTTCCATGCAGATGTTTGCTAAATGCAGGACAGATCTTAATACTATACTGTTACTATACTGTTACTATACTGTTATTTCTCACTGCTAATAATCATGGGAAGCACAGTATGTCAGCAAGGGAAATCGCTCTAATAAAAGGTGAACAGCTTAGATGAGATCAGTCACATGTTAGGTCATTCAGAAAGAGTTTTTTAAGTAAGGTACTGACTTTCCAAACAAAGATGATACAGCGCATGGCAAAGGGTACGGTGAGCAATGGGTCACTTAGTACAGTATGAATTTTGCTCATCCGCACATTCAGTGGGAGCTTAATGTGTAATCCCACATGCCACCACATGGCTGCGCCATTATTCGACTTTGTATTTTTTTTAAACCTCTTTCCTTGACCTCCCCTGTATTTCAGCATCCATGCCTTGGAGCGCCTTTATGTAATGCTGTGTCATAATTTAAACTGTCGTAATTGTGCCTTTTAAAAGTCTTGTCAGTTTCACAAGGAGAGCTGGTGCTGGACAAATGCTTTCTGTTTTCTTGTTTGTGTGGCAAATGTTAGGAGTGCAGCTAGTATTAAGGGCAGAAAATTATTTCAACGGGGAGCTTATCTTATCCAAGCAAGCTGCTTCCTCGTCAACAATGCTGACAGCCTTCATGTCAAGACTTTATTAGTTTATTTGAAGTCAAGAATGTGTTGAGTGTAATTGAGCTGGTTTGTTAATATGGAGAAGTGCTCTTCTGAATGAGGTTGTGAATGATGATTGACATCCTTCAGGCTGCAGCATGCGGGGTCTGTGGAGGCCTGTGGAGGTTGGTCTGTCGGTGTGGCCGGTGCATGGGGTTGGTCTGTGGGTGTGGGCGGTGCAGGGTCAGTCTGAGGGGATTGATCGGTGGGTCGGCTGGCTTGCGGGGTCGAAATTTGGGGGTCAGTCTGTGGGTGCGGGCGGCACGCGGATGGTCTGTGGGGGTTAGTCTATGGGTGCTGCTGGCATGCAGGATCAGTCTGTGGGGGTCATTCTGTGGGTGCGGGCGGCACGTGGATGGTCTGTGGGGGTCAGCCTGTGGGTACGGTTGATACATGGAGTCGGTCTATGGGTGCGAGTGGTGTAGGGGGTTGGTCTCTGAGTGTGGGCAGTGCGGGAGGTTGGTCTGTGGGTGTAGATGGCGTGGGAGGTCGGTCTATGGGTGTGGGCAATACACAGGAGGTTGGTTTGTGGGTGCAGGTGGCTGGCGGACACTTGTGAAGCGATGACCTTTGAACTGGAAGCGGCTCTGAAAACAGGAAGTTGTACGTTGCGGTTCTGATCTTCAGAGTGTGGTTGTGTTACCTGGGACGAGTGTCTGTCAGGTCTCCGTTTCCTGTTCTCAGTGTCGTCTCGTAGTGAGACTGGCACAGCAGCCGTGTGCCAACCGGCATCTCAGCCCAGCCAGGAGTGTCTTTCCATGATGCCAGGCACCCTTCACCCTGAGTGGCTCTGCACCAGCCCATGGGTGCCATTTCCTCTTTCTGGAACTATCCGGCTTTGTCGCCAGCCCCCATAGCCCCCCCCCCACTCCCCACACACAGTCATGTAACAGTGATGAATCGTCACTGTCACCCTGTGAGATTCTGTTTGTGATACATCCCTGTCACTGTGAGGCTTCTTCAGCAGCACCCGCCTGCCGTGCCCCTCCCTCCCTCCCTCCCCTGCATCCCCAACCTGACTTTCTTCATCCATAACTGCCCCCATGACCTCTCTCCTTCTCCCACTCTCTGCCTTCTGCAGCATGAAGCTGCTTTACAACCTCTTCTCTCTCTCTCTCTCTCTCTCTCTGTCTCTCTCTTTCATCTCTCCACTCCCACCCTTTCTTCCTCTGCCTCTCCCTCTCCTCCTCTTTTCAGGAGGCTCCCAGTGCAGGTTGCCATCTCCCCACCCACCTCTCTCCCTCTCTCAGTTATATAAATGTCGAGAGGAGGAGTGCCCCCCCCCCCCAGCTCCTCTCCGTCTGACTCCTCACCGTGTTCCTCTTTCCTCCCCCCTCCACCTTTCTCACTGTGTCTTTGTGCTGCCGGCCGTGTGGGTGATCACAGATGAACACGATTCTGCGTTTTTTGTTTTATTTTTTATTTTTTTTACAGTTGGGGGGGTATGTATGGAAGCATTTTCCAAACAATTGTTCATCAGAATAAATTAAAAGCCTAGAAATGTATGCAACCCCCAGCCCAGCCAAACTCATGCTACTATACCCAGGGAAATGAAAAAAAGCCAATAATCTTGACAGTGATTATATATCTATAATGGCTTTTGCAGAATCCTGTGTCCAGATTCTGAGAGAGTTTTGCAAAATCCAGCATCTTGAGCTTTTGTTACACCAACTGACCCTATATGGTTACATAACAACATGGTGATTGTGATTATTTCGTATCTACCCTGGAGATTAATTATAATGAATCATTTAATCAGCATTTGTAAAGTTGCAGCGATTTTATCAGGCCTTGTAATTGAAAGTAGCGACTTGTTTAGGGAAGCAGGGCATCCTCCGAGGCCAGGCTGCTTCACGCTGCTCATCACTTCGCCCATTGCCTTTTAAGGACCGTATCTCACAGTCTTGGTTTATGAACATCCAGACATTGATGTCACTCAAGGCTAACGGCACTTTGGGATACACTCTCTGGTAGTAAAACTATTGGGACTTTTGTCATCTACGTTCAAGAACATAGAGCCCCAGAGAGCAGGGTGAGGCCTGTGTAAGACCACACAGAACCACGGAGCCAGAGTCCTGCACGGGTCCACTTTTGGAGACCCGCACCCGCTCGCACCTGCACAGTACAGCACCACACCCACCCGTGCACCGTGATTATTTCAAAGTTAAATCCGCACCCGCCCGGGCCCGTTAACATTCCACCTGTTACCCGCCCGTACTCATGATAAATTACACACAATTATTTTTTCTATGCACCTCTCAACGTGACAAGCGCTAGGCCTACATGGATTTTGAATTGAAACGAAAAAGTCCGTTTAACACAAAATCAAATCAGATAGATCTAAGCTATCCATACTGTGACGAGCGTGAAAGAGAGAACACGACGACACGCTTCAGCAAGGATTCAGACGTGTATGTGAATGTTTGTCGAGGCGGTTATCTAATGGTGCGTTCGTTTTTCTCTTGGAACTCGGAAATTCCGAGTTGAGTGACATCACGTCCGACAATCTCCCGTTCGAGCTACCATATCTCGGAACAAACATGGCTGCCTCCATGAACACTCTGCTGTGTGTTGTTGCTTGATGTTTTAGCAGATTTGGAGTGAGATTATTTTTTCCGAGAGACAAACAAAAATGAAACACGAACTAGTCAAACCACATTAAAAGCTTTATAAAATATTTTAGCACATTCATAGCAATATTCTTTTTTCGAGAGGCAAACAAACTACAAACAAACCAAAGACACTAACAAGTCTGGTAAAAATCTGATATTGCATGATAGGATACTGTTTATGGCCATGATATGGTATTCTCTAAATCAAACACATGCAATTACATTTATAACTATTAATACATTTAACAAAATAAACATTTTTAAAGATTTATAAAATGGGATAGGATTACTGTTGAGTGTGTAAGCCGCCATGTTGAAATTGCGTCACAGGGGCAACTCGGACAACAAAATCTTGTCCGACATCAACGTCATAAAAGAGGCGTATTTCCGACGGGAAGTGACGTTTTTCGTGACGTTTTCATTCGAGTGCCGACTTGCAGAGAAATAATCGAAAGCACCATAAGGTACTCCCGATATACTGAACACACTGTGATGATGAGAATTTGTACATGATAGTCTAATACATAGATATTTTTGCTTATGTTATTTTTGCAGGCTACAATACTGTTTTGATTGACCTGCTACCCGCCCGTGTGTAATGAATTACCCGCCCGTAAAATTCCAGAACATTAAAATCCGTCCGTTTCAGCAACTATCTGCGGGTACCCGACCCGGTGCAGGACTCTGCCCGGAGCGCAGGGCGTTGCCTGTGTAAGACCCCACAGAGCCCCGGAGCACAGGGGCCACAGTGTCTGCTGCTGGCTTAGGCCATTCCCATCCAGTCTAGTGGCACTGGGGCCCTTGCATGCAATGGGTGTGGCCCCAGAGCTTATCCTGCTCTTCCAGCTCCACAGAAATGGTAGCAATATGAAAGCATGAAAGTATGAAAGTGACCTTTTCAGCAAATCAATGTCTTTCTGATTGAATCCTCCAGTTAATGAGGGTCTGACAGGGGGTGTCGCCTATTCCCTAACGCACTGGTAAAGTATAGTAATGAACCGCAAGTGTCAGCGGGTCACACTAGGGTTTAACAGTTTAGCTCAGAGTCTTCGGCTTTGTTTTCATTTTTTCTTCTTATTTTCTTTGACTGGATTGATATTTCTAGAGCATCAAACAGA